GGCACCTGCGGCTTGTCACAGAGGAGTGGTTTCTGGGTTATGGGCCTGTGCCCAAGCGAAGGTGTGATGCTGTATTGCGGCCACTCGCAACACCTCTCTGTCCGCTCCTCTCCTTTCTGAGCCCTCACATCCATGTGTGCGTTTTATCCATCTGTTATTCTGACCGCAGATGGTCTCAGTCTTCCTCTTATTGAAGAACTCCAGCCTAAAGGTTTGCCAAAAAATAAACCCAACTCAACAGTAATGCAAAGCATTGTTTGTTGGTTAGCTTTTTTCAGGTAGGTATCAGGTTCTGTTTTCAATAAATTTAGGTGCTAATCTCTAAAGATACATTTGTAAAATGTGGAAAATATGGTTTTAAAAACACTTTCATTGGATTTTTTGGCAAATGACGTACAAGAACAATGATAGCTCAGTGCCTTTGAGAATTATGTTAAGAATTAGTGTTGTTAAAAATTAGTTTTGTCTTCCATGTATTGACGTCCAGTCTTGCATTTGTATCTGAAATCTATGAAAAAAATACAAGATGAACAAGCATACCATAAGCAGATTTACTAGTTTCTCAGGTTAGCTGTTTTAGAAAACATGTTTTCATAGGAGAGGAGAGAGGTGTTTTTTCCCTTTTTATCCTTTCTCTCCCTTTTTTTTTTTTGGTCACCTTCACATGAACAGTGTTTACTTTGTGTCATGTAGAAAGACATCTAGAGTTTGCTGAAGTGAAAACTTTATCCACATTTAAGAAAAACAATAAAACCAATATATTTGAAGTAAACTTGAAAGTGTATTTATAGTAAAAGTATATTTAAACTCCAAAAAATTACATATTCTGTGTGTAGTCTGTGTGAATACATACTAGTTTAGTAATTTCTAAGAAAAGCTGTTAACAAAAACTTTTCAGAACACATGCAACAGACGGGAATTCCATCTGGATCACAAGATAACGTTTCAGTTCCTGATTCTGGAGCCGAAATGGATGAACCTCAGGTGGCTGTGGCTCCTGCAGTAACATCAAAGTTGTCTGTTAAAGCACCTGAGTTTTATCCATCAGGATACAACCAGAACTTCAATCAGAACTTCGCAGTGAGTGTTTATCTTCTCTTCTCAGTATGTGCCGATTTACTTATATTCAAATTAACAGTGATTCCTTGAGTTCTTGTATACCAGATGACTTGAATGCTGCATTTGCTGATGAGGTTGCAAAAGTTCTAATGATAATGTCCAGAGTCGTAGTCAGAATGTTAAGTGATAATTGGTGAATATTATGATGTACATGAGAGCCTTTGGTGCGGGATAGTTTGCTAAAGCTTGCTGGAGATAGCCACATTGCCTGTTGAGTACACTAAGCATTGATTACACCCAGCAGCAGCATAAGCTGTCTTTTTGGCAACTGCATCTGTTGTAGTTACATCTACACTGCATTTTAAGTAAAGGCTTAGCTGCACTTCTACACACATTTCACAGGGTTTTGAAGCAAGTGTGGGAGAAAGCTTGAACTTCAGCTTTTCTGAGCACAGACTTTACCATTCCTAAATTTACTGTGCTGTGGGTATGACTGGCTGTGATTGCCTAACTCATTGTACCATCATGTGTCTCTTAATTCCTTCAGTGATATTGTATACCAAAGAGCAAAGAAGTAGGGTTAGGCTCATTCCTCGCAGTTACCTACCCACATACCTAATGAGAATTATATTTGCAGCCAGTCTAAAGGGGAGCTTGGATCAGTATTGTAGATGCCTCACGTAATAGAAGTTTGTACTTCTTATTCTCTACTCCATTGTCTTCCGTGTTATTGCTTCAGTAATTCTACTCCAGGGAAGATCTGTGTGAATTCTTGGAATATCCTTTTGTTATGTAAGCAGCCAAACTCTGTACTATACATAAACAGATGGGAACTGTTACTTTTATAAATACAATCAAGTGATAACAAACAATTACACTGAAACAAATAGGTTTTGAATAACTTACAGAAAAACACTTGATTTGAATGCTAAAATTTATATGATGGTTTGGTGTTCTGAAATCTTTTCCTCACCGGTAAAACTGATGTTATTTTAATGTTAACAGCTTTGCCAGCTTACTGAATAGAATTACTGTCCTGGATAATGCAAGCCCATAGCCAATATACAACTGTTAACAAAATGCCAACACAAACATGCTTCAATGAATGGCTAATCTAGGGGAAAAATAACTACTTTGCCCCAGTACATATTATGTGTTTTCTATAAATAAAGGGTTTCAGTTTCAAGGCCAAAAACCTGCCATTTGGAATGGCATACATAGTGTATACTTATAATTATGAAGTTTTGAGGCTAGCAGTGTTGCTTTTCAGCTGTTTGTGGGAGTTCCTGGTTGCTGTATTGTAGGAATATGCTATGAATGTGACTCATCTATTAATAAAAATACCTCTTAAATGTTCTAGGTTTTGCTAGCATTTTATTTGGAAGTGTGTTGTAGGGACCTTAATCTAATCAGAATATACTAGGCATAGAGTAGTGGTGTTTCAGATTTCCGTCCTTCACTATTACAAAGTTTGGGGTTTTTTTTTCTTTAAAGAATGAATTAATTTCATAAACTGGGCTCACTTGCAATAAAAATAAGAAATTTAGCACACTTTACTATTACAGAGATTTTGACCATGAATTTTAAAATTTGAATCAAAACAAAGTTTTGAGAAACTTCCGCTTTTCTGACTTACTACTTTTTATCTGGAATTTTTAGATCTGAAGACTCGCCTTTATCTTACAAAATACACAGTGGTTTTGCTGTTAAGCATTTACTGTTTTAGAAATAAAGTGTTGATTTCTTGTTTGATTGTACATTATTATAATTACTATGTGTGTCCATATAACATTTGATTATTAGATTAGTTAATTTCCAGTTAGTTCTGATACTGAAAACTGTCAGTTACCCATGAAGATAGTTTAATGGGTACGGTATACAAGGCATGCTAGAATTTTCAGAAAAAATTTACCAGGACTTTGGGGAAGAAAAACCTCCATGGAATTCTCTCTTTGCGTAGAGTTGTCCATCGCATAGGAAGTTGCGGATGTCTGCAGAAGAACTGGTGACTAGATTTGGGTTTGGATTGCCAGTAGGAGTTGTCAGACTTGTTCTCTGCCATAGGTATATGATAATAATATAGCTGTCATTCCATCAGAAGGGCATAACAATGTTCTCGCTTTGTAGTTTTAGGAGTGAGATTTGTATTATCTTAGGTGGAATCCTTCCCCCTGTGGCTTTTTGTTGGTTGGTTGGTTTTTTAACTTTAGTCAATTTCCAAAAGAAGGCTAAGCAGCTTCGGTGTTGGTTTTATACCTTTAGCCAAGCGCGAGGGTGCCACTTAACCTCATACAGCGTGGGTAGGTGATTTTGTATATGCAACAATCTTTGAACTTCAGTTTGCAATAACTTAATTGTAAACTTGTTGCGTGCATATAATCTGAAGGGGAAAAAAGTTTGTTCCTAAGAAGTCTGAAGAGAAATTGAATAAATGATAAATTATTAGTGACTAAGTTCCTAAGTGGAAATGTTGTGAATACCTATCAGGTATAGGAAAGTGGTAATTAGCACACGTACAGAAACTAAGCCCAAGAGCAGATTTGGTTCATGGATCTTTTCTATAGACTTTCTGGTTTTTATCTGTATGTAAATCAGAAGAGTTTTAGTACCTATTTAGTCTTTTCATTGTTATATCTTTCAACTCATGAACTGACTCTTAGTAGAAGAGAGGCAAATCTATAATCTTTAAATTAGTGACTCTCTTGTGACTAATCCAGGGTCCCGTCCTATAGCTATCAGACATGAAGGAGAAGGATTACACAGTGTTGGCTTGACTGAGAAATCATTGAAATTAATGGAGAATTTCTAGTTGACTTTCATGGCTTTGAATCATAAATTTGTAAAGAATGTATAAGCTTACAGCCTCCTGTTAGCTAACTGCTGTTTAGAAATAATCAAGAAGGATTTGCTTTGTTTTCCTTTAGTTGATAAAGTATGTGGTGCTATCTTTGCTGTTAAATCTTTAAAAATGCCAATGTGAAATGCAAGTGGTTCGTGTCTAGAAGTTACTGGGCTAAATTTAATAAGTTTTTTAAGTATCAAGTGTTGCTAATTTAGCAATGTACAGCTTTATAATAATGTTTGAATTACTCATTTTTCTCTCCTATTTGTTTTGTTCCCTGGCATAGTTACTAAAACCTAGACTGCCTTTGGAGTTGCATTATTTAGTACAGATAGATAAATGTGGTACAAAGTTTAGCCTCTGCGTTTAGTCTCTTAATTACAAAATGGGAAGAGGAGTATGAATACAGGAACACCAGTATAACAAATGGTATTGGGGCCCCTTCCAAAACAAGGACATTCTCCTTCAAGATTAAATTCTTATCAGGTGAGTATGAGAGGAAGACACCTTCCTCTCTGCTGAATGAGGATCTCGTAACAACCCGATGGCTGTCAGAAAGAGCAGCTTCTTTTACTAGCTACAGCAATTGCATTCCCTGCAACCTGGCTGGAGAGTTTTCAGACAGATTGTTTGGAGAGGTACTAGTGCAGCTGTATGTGATTAAGCTGCAGTTGTTGCACAATAATGTCATAGTTCTGTGGAACAAAATAGTTCAAGTTTATAGTACAAAACTTTTACTGGGCTATTTGAAATTGCCTAGTAAAAATTTATCTCCTTTAAAGAAATAGAAGAGTTAGCAAGTTACACATAGGCATGTTAGCCCGCGTTCTTTGGCTTTATAAGCTCCAAACCATTAGAATCATAGAATACTTTAGGTTGGAAAGGACCCATGAAGTTCCTTTGCTCCAATCCCGAACTTAAAGCAAAACCAACTTGGGTCAGGTTCTTGAAGGCTTTATCCGTATGAGTAGTAACAATTTGCCACCATTTCCGTAAACCGAGATTTTTTTCCAATTTCTGATGGGCAACATTATGTTACTTTGTCTTTAACATTATTCACTGTTCAAATATTCTACTTAATTAAACATCATAGGAAATCTTTTTAGGTTTTTTTTTGTTATATTGATATGTCCCTCATTAGCTTAAGTTGCATACTCTTATGACATGGGTCTTTGAAGAGTCTTGGAAAATCTGCTTTTTTCCCTCCACACATTCTTCACAGGTCATTAAATTAATGTCAATACTTGATTTTCAGCAATGTGTATCTGTTTTTCTCCACAGTTCATATGCAGATAAAAATCTTTCACAGATCCACGTTGCTTCACAGTAGAGGAGAGACTGAGGCATTTTGAAGACAGAAAGTAAACGACATCCCCTCGTTACAGAAGGGGTGGTAGGGAGAGGGAGGATATAATTATCTTATCAATGTATTTACATCCACTAAGTAAAGGAGTGTCTTATTTTTAGCTCAATTTTTCATTACAGCAGATATATTTTAAAACTTTTTCATGTTAAATAATAGGTTAGTTGAGAATGCTGATATTCTGTATGCTACCCTTATGTCTTGAATCGCTAATTATAACTCATTTCTTTAGCAGTCCCTCTTGAGGATCCTGCTTGCACTTCTGCAATCTATATGAGATACTTTTCACAATCTTTTGTGTAGTGTGACAAAATGAATTATTTGTACTGTTTTATTACTGGTGACATCACAAAGTATGCTGCTTCCTTTGCTATTCCCCTCATATACTAGCATTATAATCATCCAGAACAGCATTGACTTTAGATACTGTTACATACATTAATTTCTGAATGGACAAAATTAGCAGCCCTCTGTTACATCAGTGGGAGTATAAACACTGATAAAGTGGTATTGTTCTAGTTCATCCTTTCTTTAGGGAGCAGATGTGTTTACTCTCTGGTTTTGAATCTCAGTAGCTGCAAATTAATGCAATACTCTTTGAATAGTTTCATTTCATGCCTTGTAATCTTTCATCCATTGCCAAGAGATGCAAATTTGCTGACTTTAAAAGATCAGTTTTCCTCACTCTACTTTCCACATGGGAATACTACACTCTATTTATTGTATTTCTGTAATTTCCCCCCCTTCTGCATATTTTGGAGCACTATACACTCTATGTAAGCCCAAAGTACTTGGTTTCAAATTTTCAATTATTTTTCCTTCTACAGTTTATATATCTGCAGCACAGTTCGTGTGCGCATCAGCAATGGGTGTTGAGCCTCAGTTTGGTAGTTTTATTCTTAACAAATGTACTTACTTATTTTGTTAGTTTATTTTGCACCCAACTTGACAAACTGATTTCTTCTTAATCTGTCTTTGGATGTGTTTGCTGGGAGACCCCAATCTCTATAAAAACATGCTACCTAGTTCTTAAGATGATAGCACAAGTGGAGCTTTCTGATGTATTGAGGACTATGCTTTCTAAAAATGCTGAAGTGAACTGTGTAATAAAGATCACTATTAAATATGCAGGGACTGAAGACTAAGGGCTGTGTGGCTACTTCTGGAGACAGTAAGTGTAACAACATTATTTTACGTTCCTTTTTAAATAGTTGGTATATTCTTTCACTGCTGTAGGATTCTTCCTTTGAAGATAGATACGATGGCTATCTGACTTTGGCAGAATATGTACAAGACTTCTTAAATCACCTCACCGAGCAACCAGGTTGTTTTGAAACTGAAATAGAGCAGTTTGCCGAAACACTGAATGGCTGGGTCACTGCAGATGAACCTTTACAAGAACTTGTTGAACTCATCTATCAGCAGGTAGCCTGTGTATTCTGTCTTATAACATGGAGATAATGCCTGTGTTACGTAGTGTCCAAGATATACATACCAGTATTATTTGTTATTGTAGTATTTTAATGGTTTGAATTTTTCTTCTTAGACTGAAACATATAGGGAAAGATTTTGCTCAATAAATTGAAATGGTAGCTCAAGTGTGGGATACCTAGACGGTTGATAAATTTCCCCAATTTACTGTTTCCTTTGTTGTGTATTTGGATCTCCTGGGTCACATACTAGAGTTGAAATTACAGCACTTAATTAAAGGAAGTTATATTTGAATTGTTGTATTTATATAGTAAAGATTGAAGAAACTCTTAAGCAATGTCAGAGTTGCACATTTTTATTTTATCCTGAAAAAAACCCTTCTTCACAATACAAAGATACTTTCAATTCCTTGGTATTTTAAAAATTTAAATTCTTACCTACTGTATACATTGCCCTTTGGGAAATGCTCTTATTGACAGACTTTCTTCTTCATTTGGAATATACCTATTTCAGAACGGGATAGTTGGAGGAAAGGAAAGCCTGTAATGGTAACTAGGTCCAGTCCCATTGATGGCCATGGAAATGAGGACAGAGACCTTGAGCTGAACTCGCTGCTAATTGGGGGAGCCATTGGAAAGAACAGCTTAATATGTGTTGCTTAGCAAATGAGCTGCTGTTACTGTCTTTTGGGCTTGCTGAATAGAATGAAGTCACACTTGTGCTTGCTATTTATTACATTGGGTGTCTCCCACTTTCCTGGGCTGGTTGCTTTCACAGTCTACCTTGAAGAATGCAAACTCTTACTCACCTTTTAAGTGCAGATACTTGCAGAATATTTTAATCTGGGGTATGTAGAAGCTGCATGACTGGTTGGTCGTTGTACAAAACTGTAGTCTTAAGTTTCTTATTATCGTACAGAATTGATGAACATTTAATTCAGAACAGTTTAATTAGACATTAAGATTACCTGTGCTGTGTTTGACAGCGTAATTTTCCCATCCTTTATTTGAACACATAGTTCAGGATAGTTTAAAAAAAAATTTACATATTCCATATAGCTATATTGGAAGAAAAAGAAGAATTTAATGTAAGTCTTTAATGCTGCCTTTTCTTCTCCCCCCTATTTAAAAACAAGTCCAGTGTTAGGTTTGGCTGTGCCTTCCTCAGCTGACAAGCATTGAGTGTTATCAGTCTGAAATTATGTGAAAAATAACTTGGCGCAAAAAAACTATGCTAGTATTCAAAAGCATCCAATTTTAGTTTTGTTTTATGTCAGGATTGGATAGTGTTTAAGTGTAAGTCAATTACGCTTATTATTCTACTGTCTTGAGCAGAGGCTCAAGTATTTGTGTTTCCTGGCTTATCACAAAATAATTAAAATGGTTGAAGTGTATTGATAAGCATCTGCTTCAGTGATGTTAATTTAACCCAACTGAGCAGATTTACAGATGCTAGGTTTGTGAAGGAAGAAGATTAAAACGAAGGAAACCCAAGTTCTGTAGTCTTCCGTTCATCTGTCAGGTATCTTAGGCTGTCTGCGAGTACTGATTATATACTTCCCCCTTGTTCTTCCTAATCTGTTTATGTCTCTGGACTGAGTAGAGTGCCAGTTCTCTTGTTTTCCTAAAGTTGAACACTGACTTCACAGTTTAAGAATCTTAACTGTTGTATAGTTATTACAGTGGATTGTTCCTGTTAGAGCAACTAAAATTTCTCCAGATATGTGTTGGTAGATTAGCCTTCATGCTTAGGTTGTGACTATTTTGCGTCAGAGATAAACTGGGATTACCAGCAACAATTCAGGGAAGACTATATTGCACTGTAATGGTTGGTTATTGAGAAGATGTAAGGTGGTTTTTTTGGTCTCTCTGCTATGCCAGGTCATAATACCTAAAATGTAATTGTTTCAGTATTTGATGCAGCCACAAATACAGACCAACTAATTAGGAAAATAATGATAAAAAATACAGATGAGGTTTGAAGAAAGGGGGGGGGGTGCGCATGTTTGTGTTTTTGTTCTTGTGGGAGTTTTTTTTGTTGGGAAAGACAAGTGTAATTTAAGTGATGTGTTTTGCCTTATGAAAAAGGAGGCGCCTCTTCTGGTCCAAGCAACTAACTGAACTAAAGCATGAAAAAGCTCATTAGCTATTTCACATGCTTTTACTGGAAACTAAATTCTATTTTACTATCCTAATTACTTAAACTTGTTGTGTCTTCCAAAGATACTTCAGTTTTTTCCTGCACGTAGTACAGTTACATTGAGTGCATATTTTTCTCTGCCTAGAAGGTAACTAGCTGTAATGGATTGACATGCTAATGGCAAGATACTTTTTTCAAAAATGCTAGCAGAAGCGTGCAAGCATATCTGTAACACTGACAGATGATCAAGATGTAAGAGGAATGCTCAAAGATGATAAAGCCATAGAAGTTTAATGAATTCTTAGTATCCTTGGCGTTTTTTTGGCAGTGCTGATGGTGTTATTTACACCAGAAGCTCTTTTCACTGAAGCTGTATCTGAGAAATAATCTCAAATTCAAGTTTTGTTAGAAGAGAGTTCAAAACAAGTGAAAAGTAATAAATTGCCAAACTAAGAGGATGTCTGGTATTAAGTTCTATGAGAGGCTGAATGTAGACACTATTGAATTCCCCATTACTTTTTCCATCTCTTGCAATTTTGAAGTATCAGTTTTAAGGCAAAACATTTTTCATACAGTGTATAACTTAAGTTGTGGAATTCCGTTGCTACCACCTGGTTTTAGTGTAAATATTCAACAGTAACAGGACTTGGTTTAGAAAAAAGGACCCATCAAGAGCTATTAACTGTAGTAATCCAGTTTTAACATCTGAATCAGGAGTTTGCTATTCTGCAGATTGCTGGAGCATGTACAGGAGAAAGTATTTATCTTTA